GCTCCGCTGATTCCGGTGCTGGGAGGCATATTACCCTTTTACTATATAGGATAGAGGCCTGGTGCATGGGTGGGGGCCGGCTGGTTTGCCCTGAAGGGTGTCCTGGATCAGGGGGGGGGTCCCCCCTGGGGTGCCTGGCCAGTCTGGCTGAGGGGCTGAGGGCCGTTTTCAGGTTGGCGGGTGACTGAAGCTCCCAACTGCTCCTTTTTTTCTTTTTTCTTTTTCTATTCTGGGCCAGCATAAGCTCTGAGGCCTCGCTGCTGAAAGCAGATTTCTGGCCTTTACCTTCTGTATTTGATACAATGTTGCGGTCCGGCTGGCTGAAGCCCGGCTGACTGAAAGCCGGTTTCTAGGGTTTTGTTTAGCTTCTATATTTGCAACATAGTTGCTTAGAGTTGCAGCTGAGAGGCTGGCAAGTCAGGGGGGGAATGTTGGAGTCTGCCATCACTGGAGCAAGCAAGCCTCCCTGTTCGCTTCAGTGCATGGCTGCCGGCCACCATCTTGGCTGACAGTTAATTTGCATAAGGATATGCTGATTAGCCAATGGGAAGGGTAGCGGTCGTACGCTAATTACCATGTTTCTCTTTTATTAGTGTAGATAAAATAGTTATCTCATTTTCTATTGCACCTCTGTAAAATAAAAAATAGGAAAAGAAACCCCCAAATTTTATTGTAAATGAAACCACTGTTGGATATAAGCAAAGTGTGACCATTTTACAATATTAAAATATTGATTCTGGGGGGAAGGGCAAGTGGGTTTTAGTTAATTGATGTTTTACTGTAATACATAAACCAGAACTCAAAACAAATTTTGTTCTCTCTCTTGTCCCAATACATTTTCTATTTTCAGCTGAAGAACATCAGACTCATCAGAAACTTCATCAGGAATTGACAACCTTCTACTTTCTTTCCAGGCTAATCCTTTATTAAGTTCTTAATGTGTGCAAAACTAATCTCTTGGGTCACCTGAGGACAATGACCCAGCTTTCAGATTAATCCAAGCAAGACACAGGTGATTCTGTCATGGGAGGGAAAAGGCCTCTGAACTGGTGAGGTTAGGGCTGTCCACCTCAGGAATCCAGCAAAAGAAGGTAGACTAATATCAAAGAGAAATAACTTAGGCCAGTGAATTGTCAATAAATCGAGAAAGGGGAACAGGGGAAAATTTGTTTGTTTGTTTGTTTGTTTTACTCCCCCTCAAATGTGGAAGTGTAAGACAGGTGAGACTCCACAGTAAAGTGGGCCCAGCCTGGCTTTATCCTCCTTCACTGTCCCTTCTCAGTTTTTTCAGCTCTGTTCCTTGCTAACCACTAAAAGAACTTTTGGGCAAAGCTAGTCTCAATTTACATGCACAGAAACAAGTTTACATCAAAGTCTGCCTGCCCCTCTTTATGTCTCTGTACCTGAGTCCCGTGACCAGAGAGCACGGATCACCCTCAGGAGCTCTTGCCACCATCCATCTTCTCATCTACTCGCCTCTTACCACTACCCTCTTCCTCCTCTAGCTCCCCTTCTTACTTCTCCACTCCCTCTTAACTCTTTCCCTTACAACTCCCATCCAGTGTGTGTGTGTGTTTCCAGGGAGTTTATAAAAACTCCCCAATACCTTCAAATATTTTGCTCTCTCTTAGCTCAACCAGTGACTCTCAACCCTGCCTGCATATTAAAAGAACTTAAAAAGAAAAAGTGCCTTAGCCTTGCCCCTACAGACCCTGATTAGCTTAGGGCAGCGGTTCTCACCCTGTGGGTCTCGACCCCTTTGGGGATCAAACGACCCTTTCACAGGGGCTGCCTAAGACCATCGGAAAACACCTATATAATTACATATTTTTTTGTGATTAATCACTATGCTTTAATTATGTTCAATTTGTAACAATGAAAATACATCCTGCATATCAGATATTTACATTACGATTCATAACAGTAGCAAAATTACAGTTATGAAGTAGCAACGAAAATAATTTTATGGTTGGGGGTCATCACAACATGAGGAACTATATTAAAGGGTCGCGGCATTAGGAAGGTTGAGAACCACTGGTTTAGGGTATAGCCCTTTGTGGTGAAAGATCCAGGAGAAGCGACAGCCAGCACCAGAGGAATCAGGAAAGTAAAACCTTTATTACACAGCACTGCTAAACCAGGGGACTTTGATCCAAAGCCTGAACTGCCAATGTGGGGAGGTTTTGATCTATATATCTTTTTGTGGCGTTTTGTAGCTCCGCCCAAGTCAGTTAGAATGGGGCTTGTAAGATTACTGTTTAACTAGATACTGAACTAGGCTGTAGGCCCCCAAAGTTGCCCCCCTATCTTCCTTAGGTTGGCTTGGTTGTTTTACTCTCCCTAAGTGACTTAAATGTGGTCCAAGCTTGAGAGCCACAGCCATAACTGAAACCCAGATTCCTCCCTGGCCAACACTCTTCCTTTGCCTCTCTCTGGAGATCACTGTCTTCCACACCTGAATACCACCAGACCAGAAAGGGCAGTGGCGCTCAAGCTCTTCCAGACCAAATTATATATATTTACCTGGAGGCACGTCATTGACATACCCATGTCTCCTCTACCCCCACCCCCACCCTAATCTGCCTGAATAACTTCTATTGTCATCAAAATTCAACTACAACATTACCTCCTTCGTAAAAATCTAAGACAACTCTTCATTTTTGGGGGGGGGGGGGGGAAAATCATAAGAAAGTTTTCCCATACATAGAAAGTACTTTATATATATTTCTGGTCATCTACTAAAGATAGTATTATTTATCTCCAACTTCTATATGATTGGTGACCCAGATCTTGCCTGACAATTCCATTCTGTTCACAGTGATTGAGGTAAGCAAAGTAATGCCCTCAAAGGTGTCCATATCCCAAACTCCTGTAGCTGTGACTGTTACCTTACATGGCAAAACGGCATGTGCAGCTGTGATTAAGGTAAGGATCTTGAGATGTGGAGGTTATCCTGGATCATCTAGGTTAGCGGTTCTGAACCTGTGGGTCGAGACCCCTTTGGCGGTCGAACGACCCTTTCACAGGGGTCGCCTAAGACCATCCTGCATATCAGATATTTACATTATGATTCATAACAGTAGCAACATTACAGTTATGAAGTAGCAACGAAAATAATTTTATGGTTGGGTCACAACATGAGGGACTGTATTTAAAGGGCCAGAAGGTTGAGAACCACTGATCTAGGTGGACTCAATGTAATCACAGGGGTCCTTGTAAGTGAAAGAGGCAGGCAGGAGACTCAGTGTCCGAGTGATGCAGCACAAGCAAGACCTGGCCATCTGTTACTGATGGAGGAAAAGCCAAGGAATACAGGTAATCCCTAGAAGTTGGAAAAGGTAAGATTCTCCCCTAAAGCTTCCAGAAGGAATACAGCCCTGCTGCTCCCTTGATTTTAGCCCAGTGAAACCCATTCAGATTTAGAAGTCCACCAGGACTGTAAGATAATAAATTTGTACTGTTTTAAGTCACTTGTGGTGATTTGTTAAAGCAGCAACAGGAAACTAATACAGTGGCTGTGAAAATGTTTCCAGAGTACACTCCTATCTGTCAATAGATGCTCTCAGCATTGAGTTAATGTCAGCTCTGCTGCAGTTATTGTAGAATAATCCCTGAGAGACTTGATGATGACCTTGAGTCATAACAAGACTCTCGATCCTCAGTGAAAGAATAAGCAGTTAGAACCCCAGTACTATCCATACTTGATTATGAAAGACATATAACACATGCCCCAAATAGACATAGTGTTGTCAAGCACAAAACAAAAGCCTGGAATGATGCATGGCTCTTAACTTTGGACTCCAGCTACACTTGAGCAGCTTGGAGATCCTAGACTTCTGGTCCACTCATCATCAATCCTTTCACTCTCTGGTGTCTCCTGTTGAAGGACACCAGGCTTCGTTCTAGGGCTAGGACCTTGCGGGTGAGAACAGGGGGGAAAGGGAGAGAGGATAGAGGGCTTCCCAGTGTCCATTCTCAGGGTATGGTTGATGCAAAATCATTAGATTTGCTGCACTGCCCAGATTGATCATCTAACAGGAATCTTCTGAGGCTCATTATGTTAAAAAGTGTCTGTCCTTTGTTCCCGACTGTCTGGAGGAGGAGAAAGAGAGAAGAAAAAGAAAAACCAACATATCAGTGGTGAACTCATACATATTTTAGAACGACTTATTAAATTTTAAGAGGGAATTCCAGTTAACCCTAAAGTAGCCAGACATTTTACAGAATCAGTATTCTGCATTTTCTGAACTTTCTGATCAATCAGTACTTTAGCATACAGCTAGCTTATCATTTTGGCTTTAAAGCCATTTTGTTTTCACTACTGCAAAATATTGCACCCTGCCTTCTCCCCACCCAAGCACGCAACCAACTAAGTCATAGCGATCAGAAAGATGGGTATCAAAATCTCAGCTTTTTACTGCAAGCTGTTTAGAGAATAGCGCTTCGGTGTGGAGCAACAACAAGCTTCCTAATGCAGCAACTCTGTACTAAGCAGAATGACCTACTCACTTACTGGCATCCAGCAAAAGTGATCCAGCCCTGGGAGCAGAGCTGCCCATAGTCAGATCCCAATAAAATTCCCCAATACCTGAGATAGGCATGCCTGCCATCTCCCCACCTCACCTATCCCAGGGAGGACTGACACCTGAAAGCCTCTTTAAGTGATAGTAAATGAAGCTATGCTATTACTAAGCTAAATAATTATGGCTAGAGAAAGCTGAAGGCAAACTTAGCAAGAGCTAACTAAAGATCCGTCACTCCAACGCATGCATGGAAGCAGCAGCCTCCGTCTCAGTGTGATGGCGCCCTGTCCGAGGTGTGTTCCTGGCAATAAAGTGTGCACATTTACTAATGATGCGTGTTGTCTTTAGAAATTAGAGCTGGTTCAACGTTTTCACTATACCAGCGTTATTCTTACTTCAGATTTACTTCCTTGAGTGGGAGAAAAAGGGAGGGAATTACATACAGGATTTGAGAAATTACACATAGCCCCATCCAGCAGCTCATAGTGAAGGACCTTCAGTGGTAGCATTAATAGTTGTGGCAATTGTGAATTATTGAAATGCTTGTGAGTTGTGATTTTTACAGTTGCTTCTATTTCTTTTTTATTTTCCTTAGGGATAAATTTGATTGAGAAGGCAAACGGAGATTTTTTAAATATCAGCATGACACATGAGCAAGAATTACTACACACTTTTAGTTAATCATGATGAAGAACTACAGTGTCAAGGAAAAAACAGAGCATGTAATGAAATTTGTGAATTTTTCAAGAATGATATTAATAGCATTATAAAAAGTTAATGAACATAGTCCATGTATCATAATTTAAACAGCAACATAGGGGAGTTTTTGTTTTATTCTGCAGTTATATTCTGCAGTTGTTCCTAAGGAGTTGGGATCCAGAAAAAAATTGGAATTCATTTTTTAAATAAGTCACAATTTTAAAAAGCAGTTTAGCTATACATATTTACTTTTATTATAAAATAATCATTTTGAGATTTATTTAATTTGCTTATAAAATGAATTTATGAATACTTTTATAAACAGAGATTCCCCCAGGCTAATGGCACTTTTTCTTATATTTTCCCACCACCAACCTCCCAGTTTGATGGGTTTTGTTCAATTCTGAAAATATTGTATATTGTGCTTGCAAATTGCTAAGAAATAAAATAGGAAACACGAGTACTCTTTTCTACCATGACGTCTTCTTAGGAAAGCTTTAGGGGGGGCAAGAACAAGATTTCCCCTGACCAACAAATCAGTGCCCTTGCTAGGTGATTGTGACATAGGAAGAGTAACCACCAATCAAAGAGAAGCCCCAAGTCTGATTGTGAGTTGGCAGTATAAATGTGAGCGCTCCCCTCACTCTGGACCCTTCTCCGCTCCACTCATAACTGTTAAGGAGAACAACATCTACGATGGCCAGATCCACCAAAAAGACTAAGTGCTCCCGAGGACATCGAAACCCAAGCTCCAGAAAGAAGTCACATTCCCGCACTGATTTTAACCGAAATTACTCACTCTACATCCGGAGGGTCCTAAAGGAAGTGGATCCCCAGAGGAGCATATCATCTGGCACCTTGGACATCATGAACTCCGTGATCAACGACATCTTTGAGCGCATTTCTACGCAAGCCAACAATTTGATGTGTTTCAGAAATCGTTGTACACTCACCCCTGAAGATATCCAGAAGGCAATGTATATGCTGTTTCCTGGGAAACGAGCTAAGTATGCAGTGACTTTTGGAAGTGAAGCTGTCCAAAGATATGTCCACTCCAAAAACAATTTACCAGCTTAATTAAATCTTGGGGAAAGTAAATCAAACTTACCCAAAGGATCACTTCAATATTGAATTCACTCTTTCTGTTTTTTGTGTGTTTTTTTTAGAACATAGTTGTATTTCATAGTTCCTGGTATTTTCCCTATTTCTCTTCTCTCTAGAAAACAATTACTCTCTTGCTGTTTTACCTTTTAACAATTTGACTATTTAGGTTTTCCTGATACTGCTCCCCACCGGAACTCTTGTTTTTCCTATGAATGTGTAGATCTTGTTGTGTAAATTCAATGCTTGTTCTATTGTTAAGGTATTGTTAACTATGTAAAGAATGATTTAGTCCAGCTAATTTGACCCCCATGGCACACTGACTTTGAATTTATGAAGATAAATGTTTTAATCAGAAGTATACCAGTATTGGTAAATTTTCATCAAACTGCGTTCAAACAATTTAGTTCCTTAATGAAGTCTATAGAGCACGTTAACTATTCCCCTTTTGTTTTAATTCTTATTTTCTGAATTTCAACAAGCTCAGTTCATATCCACGTAAATTTCTCTCCCATTCCTTTGTTTTTCATTATACTTTTGCTACCTACATATATGTCTCTACATTATAGGTTTAATTTTGCTTATTTTGTAACACCGAAGCCATACTACGCATGTTATTCTGCGCCTGCCTTTTCATCAACATTATTTCTAAGATTATATAGCTCTAGTTCATACTTTTCACTCTGATATTATGTAGTATTTTGTAATGTGAACATACCACAGCTTATTTATCCATCCTCTGTTGGTGGAGTTTGGGTTGTTTTCAATCTTTTTGCTATTATGAACAATGCTGCTATAATAATGAGTTGTAACAAAAGCTAAGCATTTGCTATGTACCCAGCATTTTACATAAATTAATTTATTTAATCCCTGTAACAACCTTATAAGAATAACATAAGTATCCCCTCCTACAGATGAAAATGGGCACAGAGAAATAAGTGATTCTTCTGAGGTCACACACCTGTGTAAGTAGCAGAGCTGGGATTTGAGCTGGTTAACACAGCCCACTGCAGACACACATTACATGCTGTGAACATTGTTAGACACATATTTCTGGTACAAATGTACAAAAAAATTCTCTAGGTAAAAGAGCTAATGGTAGGCTTGCTGGATCATTGATATGCCCATATTCAATTTTACAAGACATTACCAGACTGTCTTCCAAAGTGTTTGTAGCTATTTACATTTGTAGTAGATGAGTAATTTAGACTCTTCTGTTTATAAGGAACATATCACTTAAGTTTCCTCAAGAAAGGGGAGTTTCCCTGGGCAGTGTTGCTCAGCAGTTGTGCATCAGTCCATGAACCAGGAGGTGACGGTTCAATTCTCAGTCAGGGCACATGCCCGGGTTACAGCTTGATCCCCAGTAGGAAGCTTGCAGGAGGCAGCCAATCAACGTTTCCTTCTCATGGATGTTTCTATCTCTCTATTCTTCTCCATCTCTCTAAAATCAATAAAAGTATTTTTTTAAAAAAAAGAAAGGGTGTTTCTTGTGTGTATATACTAGGATTGGATCTGAGACTATTCTAGATGTCTCTCACTTAGGGCCTACCCTCTAGTTTTCCTGGGGTTGCTCCCTTCTAAAACCCTCCTTCTCAGAGTTCCAAGAAATAGACCTGACAAACAGACCTATTGGAATCCACTTACATGAAATACCACAATAAAACATGGTTAAAAAGGTTTTTAGGTGGGTATTTTTATACACATGCATTTATTTAATCAGACTTGAAGCCATCCCATTTCAGTTAGGCCCAGGGATCAGCACATTAGAACCCTTAGGCCAAATCTAGAAGCAGCCCTTTTTTTCTGTAGCCCCACAAGCTAAGAAGTTTTTTTTACAATCTTACAGGGATATTTTAAAAGAAAACAAACACAAGGACATTCAACAAGCCTAGTGTGGCCAACAAAGCCTAAAATGTTTACTATCTGGCTTTTTACAGGAAAGTTTCCAAACTCTGGAACATTAACAAAAAAAGTCCCCTCCCACCCGGCCCACCCTCC